TCATGTGTGTACGATTATGACCCCAGCACAGTTTCATTTTGGCTGATACGAATTATAAGCTTGTCCCTCTAAGGCCATCTAAGGCCAGTGAGGCAGCTGTAATTTTTTTTTTTTTTTTTTTGCAGAACTGGGGATTGAACTCAGGCCCTTGCGCTTAGCCAGGGAAGTGCTTATTCCACTGAGCCATCTCCCCAGCCCCTAGGCAGCTGTAATTTCCAGTTTGACTACAGAGTAACCAAACCAGCGTAATGCGAGCACAAACCAAACATAACAGCATATCCCAGTTAAGAGTGTCCTATGCTCCTCTGGCTTATACATATCTTGGGAGGGAACAGCAAGCCACTGAATGTCCTTCCTGGGAACCTGGGTTGCTTCTGGCCTATGTTTTGTCCTTTTTCAGTTTCACTGACACCACAGATCAACATATCATGCTCAATTCCTTTGTGGTCATAATAGACCTGTTAAACCTCCTTGGGACTTAGTTGGCTGAGTTCAAGACCATAGGGTCATGATTGAAATCAGTTCAAGTTGGCCTCCTGTACTTGCAGTATTACCAATTACAGCCATAATTAAAGGGCATATGAGATTAATTGAAAAACTCTGGTTCCAGTCCCTTGGTCATATTAACAAGAGTGGCCCAATTTACCAGAATCCAAGACTGCTGTACAGGGACAGGGCGCGGACACTGTTGGGAGCACACTTCCATTGGTCTTTCACGCTCCTACACATTTGCTAACCAAATAGCAAGGCTCCAACGAATCTACCTAGACCAATTTCCAGGGCCTTGCATGTAAGGAGCAGCCTTGAAGCACAAGGTATTTCACCAGGAAAAAGTGGCAGCTTATCACTTGTTATTCCATTCAATGTTCAGGCATCCATGTGGGCCCTCCATGACAGCCTAGTGAGAGCTGGGGGCCAAAGGGAACTAACACAAAAATCCTATGTTCATACTCAATGCTATTAGTAATAAAGTCCTTTGCCTCTAATGGGAATCTTGTGTTTTCTGCTAGTACCCATGAAACAGTAACAGGCTATTTTATAGGTCAAAGATAAAATTAAATCTCAGACCCACCAGTTAAAATACCATTGTTATGATAAACTATGTAAGTAGCCAATGGAAACAATAATGGCAGCACCTTCTCCGAGGAGTCACGGACAATTTTTCTACAAGGCTTAAAATCCTAAAGGTTGAAACCTCTGTCTGGGATTCCCACATAGGCAGCACATTCATGTTGTATAGGTACCAGCCAGTATTAATTCAAAAGTAAAAAATTAAATGTAGGACTGAACCTAAGTGGTGCCCAGAACATTGGGTGAGAGAATTTATTAAACTGCAAGATCCTTGGTAACTTACATAGTATTTTACAGATACAAGATCACTAATAAAAACTTCAATTTAGGGACAAATGGAATCTTTGAAGAATATGGGGCCCACAAAATAATTGTCATTTGTGTGTCACTAAGATACAAATAAATGTGGCTCATATACCAAAGAACATGGAATGTATTGACCCATTTACTTGAAATTCAGATTTCCTACAGTAAATTGCCTTCTCACACCCTTTTTCATTCTCTTGCCACATATGAAACAACTAGCCAAACAGGTATCGTTTTCCTAATTGAAAACAACTCACCCAAGACTCTGAATACTGCAGTTTGGATTTCTCAAAGCTTCGCACAGTATTTTCACTCCTTCATCCTGCAAGTCATTGTACCCAAGATCTAGGTTTAATAGGTTTGGGCTGTTCAGAATTGCAGAAGCCAAATCAGGACAACATGCAGTAGTGAGAACACAACCCATCAATCTGCAAGAAAGAGAAATGAGCCTGACAATTATGAGGCTTAGTTTCTTCCTAGGAGGGCTGCCCAGGGATTTGAATCTCTTTCTTGCTTAGAGACCATTATGTTCATTAAGAAAAGGATGATTTTGTTTATGTATTTACAGCAACACTAAGAAAAGGGGAACTGAGGAAAGCCCTTGAGTATATAAGGTCACTTAAACATTGTATCTCTAGTTGAAATAAAAGAATTGGATTTCATGATATTATCCATTTAATAAAACTGTCTTCAACTTAATCAAGGAAATTTCAGAGGTTCACATAATACTCCGTATATACATATTTCCCTTAAGGAACTACAAGTGTTTATTATATCAGAGAGCTCAATTTTAGTGTTTATAGATGTCATAATACACTAGTAAACTTATTTGGGAGTTTAGTTGTAATGAGTCAATTCAGTAAGAAACAGTTCTGGGTGTAACAAGACACTTAGGTCTATAATTTAAGTCCTTAATGACTTACCTATGCTTCTAGTCCCACAACAGACCCTAATGCAAAAGCTGAAATTGCTACCTCTGACTTCCTTCATTCCAGCCACAATATTTACAGTGAAATATTAAATATTTAGCTATTGAAGTAAGATTTAAAATAGACATTTAAATGTTTTCTGAAATATTCTTGGAAACCAAAGTTATGTCTACATAATAATCACAATGACAGACACAAGGGCTATGCATAGGTTACACGCAGAACAGAGGAATAAAAATGACGGTAACCAACTCAACAAAAGTAAATAAAATGAAAAAAAAAAGTTGCATGTAAAAAATAGGATACATTTGAAAATCCGGTTTTTTGAAAATTCACCTAATTATACACCCAAGTTTAAACATAGCCCTGCATGAAAAGCTGATGTAGCTCAGTTCCAACTGCATAAAGTAGAGAACACCAGTAGATTGCTCACTAGGGCACAATCAAGAAAAACTAATATTGCTCCTATTCATCCTGATGCCTCCAGATCCTTACCCGAGGGAAACTGGTTTTAATTGCTATGGTGACTCTATTAAAAGATCTGACGAGCAGAATTCCCCAGATTGTCACAATCAGAAAAAGTCAGCTCTATACTCTTTTCTATTTCATTCTCAGCCTTCTTCTCCATACCTTCCCCACCCATACAGACAATTCCTAGTTGAGACTAGCCAAAAGGAGTCAGAAAACCTACTCCAAGTCCTGAAGATTACTGTTTGACTGCTGAAAGACATTACACAGAACGGCTAGTCCATCATCTTGAAGATCGTTTGATCCCAGATCCAGATGTATCAGACTCTTGTTGTATAGAAGAGAAGATGAGAGATATTCACTGCTAATCGGAGTGAAATGACAACGCCTCAGCCTATAGGAAGGACAATAGGAGGAAACACAGCATCATTGTTTACTGTCTAGAGAGGTCCATCTTTGGAAGGTCTCGTATTATGAGTTCTTACTACTTGTCAACAACATTCTACCTGAGGTCAGACACCCTAGTGGACCACCTGTCTCACAGGACACACTTAGATTACATTAGTTACAAACTAGATTTATGTTTTTCAGATTTTCTTACAAAAAAAAAAGTTGTTCAATTTATAGTATTTTAGTAAGAGTCTCACTACGTAGATTGGACTCATAGTGATTCACCTGTATTCAGCTTCCCAAGAGCTGGATTACAGGTGCACACCACCACGCCCAGTCTCAGTCGCTCTCTCAGCGCACCCTGGGGGCAGGGCCAGCATGGCACTCTGGGGAATCGAACCCCAGCCACTGCATCTGCCTAAGCGGATGCTTTAATCCACTGAGCTATTTGGCCAGCCCTTCAAACAACCTTTTTTTATATGAGTTGTATATAATACTGTTACAGAAAAATACATAGAATACAGCAGCAGGAAGATGAAGGAAAGTAGGAGCACTAAATATTCTTTGTGTAGTAAAAATGCACTTAAAGTCAATAAGAAAATGACATGCCATTAATGATTTTCATACAACAGATAGAATATATATGGGATAAGTATAAGCCTTATAAAAACTTTGGAATAATTTAACATGCAAATTTTAAAAATTAAACCATAAAGTGTATGAGCATATAAATGGATTTTAAAATATATTTCCAATTATAGAATGCCTTTAGAAGTCATGAGAGGTATCTGACTTCACAAAAAAAATTTAGACCTTATTTTGAAAAAGACTAAAGCAAGCTGAAAATAAAGCAACATGTTAGGGAACTCTAATATATAAAAAATAAAGTATATGTTATATTAATAATTATATAACAAAAACTCAAATAGCCTATCCAGCCTATAAAGAAGCAATTCCTAAATATAAAAGGCCCAAAATAATTGAAAACATGTTCATCATATTACTTTAAAAGTTGATTTTCAATAATGATCAGAAAAATTATAGCTAGGGGATGGTGAGATAGCTCAGCAGGAAAAGTGCTTGCTACCTAGCAAGCGTAAGGTCCCGAGTTCAATCCCCAGTACCAAAAAAAAAAAAAAAAAAGATTGTAGCTATCCAATGAAGTACTACACAGCAGACCGCTAGACTGCTATCAGGGATATAAATAATCTGGAGGGCAATAATACCGCTGACAAAATAAATCTCTGGCACATCAATTCATGACTAGAAAAACTGAATAGTAATCCAGCTATATAAGGGAGTGCAATTATTTCTGTTCAATGGTATTTATATTTATTTACTTGCTTTAATCCCAGATTATAGAGTTGGAGAGGTGGCAGATTTCAACTCTATAATTCATTTTCTTGTGAAACGTTAGACAAGTTCTATATTTCCTAACCTGTACTGTGAGGCACCTAGAATTCAAGTGTCAATTTGCCACCATCAGGTGCTGTTGTACAAGTAACATAACTGTAGCATAGGGTCTAGAATAAAGACAATGACAGATTAGTTGGACCATCACCATAAGGATAAAAAAAGGAGAATTTGTTCCTGATACACTTTCACTTGCCTCGCCTTGGTGTTCCAGAATACCTGAGACTTGGTATTTATAATGAAAATAAATTTCTCATGGCACGGAGGCTAGGAGGTTTAAGATGAGGGGCTGTGACAATTGAAATCAGTTTAGCTACATAAACAAAAATGGACTCGTGACAATCTCTAGGTGACACTCTGGATGTCTGATAACCCTCTAGCTACATCATCCCATGCCAAGAAAAAGGGCAAAAGGGCACAAATGTAAGAGAAAAGGGGGTCTGAACTTGTCCTTTTGTGAGGAATCATTCCTGAAATGCTGTTAACTCACTGCCCTTGGGAATTAATTACCTCTTAAAAGATCCTACACCTCTCAACACCATGTACTACATTGGGGATTCAATTGCCAGTACTTGAACCTCGGGGGTTGCAGTATTTTAAATATCTTTCAAACGGTATATTACATTGAAAGGAGGATAAATAGCACACTCACACAAGGCTCTGCAGAGTACACTCTGGATGTTTCAGGGCAGCACTTAAAAGCTTTATTCCACGATCTCCCACTGAATTGTCTGCCAAGCATAAATGTGTCAGGCTCTTATTTCTGATAAGAGCCGAAGACAGATCCTCACAACTCACTTCTGTGAGGCCACAGCTTTCTAACCTGAAGGAGAAATACAAGGGAAGGGATTCATTGATTCTCCAGGCTGATGCCTCTCCACACAAGGAAATGAGCTGGCATTCAGAACCCCCGTATCTCTACCATAGAACCTCAGCAAACCTAAATTGTGAATTATATCAGCCATACATGAGATAGTATGAAATAAAATACAAATAGATGATTGTAAAAAAATAAAAATAAGGTCAACCAAGTAGGAAAGAATTGCCAAAAGTTAAGAGAAAGGAAGGGCTGAGGTTGAGCTCAATGATAGAGGATGTCTTGAGTACGTACAAGATCCCGAGTTACATTCCCAGCACCAAAAGAAACAACCATCACCACCCCCTGAAAATCCAAAAACAGAAACATTGGAACAAAGTAAAGGTCATAATAGAGGGTACATGGAAAAAAAATTCATGCAGAATTGCAATTCATTTATTATCAGGACCCAAACATTTTCTGCATTCAAATCACAATTCAGCTATATAAAAAGCTGACTCACGACAGTCTCCGTAGGTAACACTCTGGATGTCCCAAGGCCTCACATAAGAACTTTACTCCATCATCATGCAGAGTATTGGTTGACAAGTTCAAGAATACCAGGCTTTTGCTTTTGATGAGAGCCTTAGCTATATCTTGACAACAAACTGAGGTTAGGTTGCAGGCCTCCAACCTAGAAAATAATGGAACAGGAATGACCACATCCCAGAGAATTACAGCCACATGTACACAGCCAGAGTGTAAGGCTCTCCCAGTTCTGGGAACTGTGCCTGAATATCCAGCTTTCCTACAGAGAGCAAGTTTTTTAACATGTAAAGCTCTGATAAAAGAGCTAAAAAGGGCACAGGAGGAAACTTGCCTCTTCCATCCCCAATCTCCCCAAGTCCTTAATGAAAATACACATGAAACATTTTTAAATACCTTAAAATGGTAACATGAAACATTTTAAAATACTTTGAAATGGTAAATTCTTTTGGAATCGGGGAGGAATTTCCTCTAACTAGAACAGAGGATAGAGAGGGCCAAACATCCTTTCTGATTAGATTTGAAGAGAAAAAAAAGCCAAGTCAAAGCAAATGGAAAATGAGAAACTAGAGAAAACAGGAAAAAGTTTAAAATGACAAAATTAAGAGCTACGTAGGAAAAGCATTATAACCAGTGATCATTGGACGCTCTTGAAAGTCATAGTAAAAGAGGAACAGAATAAAAATTCTGATAATTTGGGTCTGGCAAGATATCTCAGGGGCTGTGGGGGAAAAAGGAATCTCCACTGTCAGTGGGAGTGTGGATTGGTACAACTCCATTCACCGTGGAGTCTTCAAAAAGCTACGACTGGAGGTCTCATTCAATCCAGCTATTCCCCTCTTGGGTACTTTTCCAGAACTGAAAACATACCACAGTGATTTATGCACACACGTGGTTATAGCAGTACAATTTTTCATAGTTTAATCTTGGAAGCAAGCCAAATGCCTATCAACTAGAGGAATGGATAAAGATGTATTTTCACACAGTGGAATATTACTCAGCTGTGAAAGGATAAATTTCAGTCTTTTATAGCTAAAGGATGAAACTGGAGACTGTACTCTTAAGTAGATTGGACCCACATGTGCAAACACTGTATGATCTTGCTAGTGTAAGAACCTGAAAGAAAATCAAATCTGAAGGTCATAATAGACACTAAAGAGGGAAAGAATCTATTCAAAGGGAAGGAATTACTGAGAGGAGAAGAACAGAAGAGGGAGTGGGGGAAAGAGATGTATATAAGCTAAATGGTTTGGATAATTGTACTGTGGATTTCTGCTGGTCTACAGAAAAGCGCAGTTAGGTTTTTATTCCCCTTTTCTCTCAATTCATTACAACTTTGTTTTTCCAATTTAGCATGCATATATCTGGTATTCTGGACAACGCTATGTAATACAACAAATACTGTTGGATTGACATTCTGGTTAGTAAAATTCTGTATCTGTAATTTTTTAATACTGTATTAATACTATTTTGTATTTTAATACTATTTTGTATTCTTTAAAAAAAGAAAATTTGGGCCAGCCAGATAGCTCAGCAGATTAAAGTGCTTGCTTAGGCAGAAGCAGGGGCCAGGGGTTCGATCCCCAGCCTGCTGTGCCTGCCCTGCCCCCGGGGAGTGCTGAGGCAGGAAATGAGACTGGGCATGGTGGCATGTGCCTGTAATCTCTGCCCTTGGGGGGCTGAAAAACAGGAAGGATCACTACAAGTCTGATCTGTGTGAGACCCTGTACTAAATACATAAAATAAATAAAATGTAAAAATATATATAGTATTACAAGCCAGAAAATATTTTGTCTTACTGTAACAAAAAGATCATACCTGGATTTTAGAAATTGTCTTATAAACTTAATAGTTAAGGGTGGTTTTTATAACTTATTGTCATTTTAATAACGTGTCACTCATAACATCAAAATATTTATAAAGTTCTAAATTATATCAATGGAAAAGATTGTTAGGTCAGGAAAAAGGTCATTCTTACCTTCATCTTTTATGCATAAATAAAAAATAACTATGGTTTAAATATAGTTTGCATCCTCCAAAACTCATGTCAGAGTTTAACTGCCATTTTGAGGTATTAAGAATAGGAAAACTTAATCCTTAATCTTTTAATCCATGGGTTTAGAGAACCTTTAGGCAAAGACTATTAGGTAAGATAAGGATAAACACTGTTTTCAGTATGAAACTGCAGGCATCAGTAAAATCAGTTTGGTGCCTATAATTCTAGCACTATGGGAGGCTGAGACAGGAGGACTGCTGCAAGTTCAAGGCCAGCCTGATCTATACAGTTAGCTCAGGGGCAGCCTGAACTATATAGAGAAGCCCTGTTTAAAAAAAAAAAAAAAAAAAAAAAAAAGAATCGGTTTGAATTTCTCCTGGCAGGCCTTTGGCTACAAATGTTAAAGACATAAAAACCAGCGACTAGGGCCGGGGAGATGGCTCAATGGAATAAACGCATAAAAACCAGGGACTAGGGCCAGAGAGATGGCTCAATGAAATAAGCGCTTCCCTGGCAAACGCAAAGGCCCGAGTTCAATCCCTGGTTCCACAAAGGAAAAAAAAAAAAAAAAAAAAAAAAAATCCACACAGCAACTTACTTCTCACTGGGTCTCAGACCAGAAGTGCAGGTTATGGCATAGTCCTCAAAATATTCTAAAACTACTTCACAAAACTGGTAAAACTATCTACCCAAACCTGCCCCACTAGCAAATGTAGTCAATTGACATTCAAGAATTATCCAAAAACTTCAAACATGATTAATGTAAGTGGATTTCATCCTCTAAGAACTGGCAAGACTTTAAAAATTATATAACCAATACCATACCACCAAACTCATCTGTCTACCTTCAGAAAGGTCTTGTTTCAGATTTCACTTCATTTCTCCTACCCCTGAATTCTAGACTGTCTCACACCAAGAGGACCCACCTTGACCCCCGATGCATCAGCGTTCAATCTTGGGCCCCCTGAACTGAATCCAGGGATTTAAAAAAAATCCCTTAAAACCTACTGTAACACTTTTTGATTTGTAGATACTGAGATCTGTCACATGAGGATAAAGTAATGTGGCTAATCCTCTCAGAGAAAGAAAAACCAACAAGACGGCAACCACTGAGAACTCGCAGCAGGTGAGCACCAGCAACTTATGGCTGCCACGCTGTTTTTTCTAAACCTTCTGGGCTCTTTTCTGAGTCACGACTGTAACCTGAGGATTAAGCATAAAAAAAAAAAAAAAAAAAAAAAAAAAAAAAACCAACTAAATTGAGGCTGTCCTAGCACTGATATCAGTGAAAGGCAAATAGCCCTTTCAATGAACGTTTACAGATACAGTGAATGTATTCCAGTACTAAAATATGAAAAATGTTACATGCTTATAATATTCTCCACACTTAGGAGATGGAGACACAGAATTACACAAAGAGAAGTCTTCAGTGGGGGATTGTGGGAGCGAGAAGACCTACGAGGGGGAAATCAGCCCAATTTTACTGATCCCTGTGACTCCATATCATAAAATTAGATGTAAGGCAGGTCTAAGAACATCCAGTCCAGGCTGCAAGTCTAAGGGACAGAAAAAAAAAAATCTCAGTGGAATAAAAGACTCAAGACTTACCCCAGATTTTGTAGTTTACATTCTGGGTGTTTCAAAGCTTCGCACAGTAATTTTACGCCGTCATCCTCTGTGTTACTTCCTTTCAGGTCAAGATGCATCAGATTCTGCTTGTGAGTCAAGAAACTAAAGACATCTTGATAACCATCAGGGAAAGCAACAAACCTCAGCCTTAAAGAGACATTTAGAGAAGGATTAAAAAATCATCCCCTTTCCTGGCTACAGCAGCCCTTTCTTTTTACATCTAAGTCTGAGATATTCTATGAATATTCTCACTTTTTTTCTTTTTTTGTGGTACTAGGGATCAAACTCATGATCTTGTGCTTCCCAAGCAGGCACTTAGGCCACTAAGCTATATCAGCAGCCCATTCATCTTCTATCAGACATATCCTAGATCAGGTAACAATCAGGTTCTTGCCTAGAAAAATAACATAGTTACAATTGATTTCCATTTATATTTTCTGGCACTCTTGTCGTTCAAGGAAAATGTATGATATCAGGAAAGGCAGAAAGGGACTTCTGAACTCAATTTTAGGATTAACCAAAATTATCAGGACCATTCTAAATACTGTAATTTTACTAATTCACAGTAGTTCTGTATTCTTTAAATATAGAGACCTGGAGAGATGGCTCAGTAGAATAAACACTTCCCTGGAAAGTGCAAGGGCCCAAGTTCAATCCCTAGTTCTGCCAAAAAAAAAAAAAAAGAAGAAGAAAGCTGTATTCTTTAAATAGTCCAAAATAAATTGACAATTCACATTGACTATTTTATATGCATCATTAGCAAAAAAGCATTGTTGAAAGATACATCATTTTATGCACAAATGTTAGTTTTACAGAGGCCATCCAAAGCAAAATGTGAAGTTAACTGGTAGAAGGATATTTTTTTGGAGGGGGGCTAGGTCAGAATGTCTTCAGGGCATGTTTGGCTGGCTGGAGTTGTGGGGATGAACCACAGCAACCTGAGCCTGACTGCTTTGTTGAAGCAGCCACTTAAAGAACTGAGCTAAGGGGCAGATCCCCCGTGAAGTTAAATTTTCCAGGATTTCTTTCCATTTACACCTCTTAACTCTGCTAACATTAGATACATGATTCTTCTATAGTACCTCTGCTGGTTCCAAATGCAGCCTACTTGCACTGCCAACTATTAATCTCTCTTTCCAAGACTACCTTTACCCTTCTGCCAACTACCATCTCTCATCCTCCACACCTCTACCCCCAGCGATACACTCATGAGAACATAGAAGACATAATTTATGTCCATCACTAACCATCCTCACCCATAGAAGTGTCTAAGGTAAATATAAACTGAAGGCCCTGTCTCATTTGTTAGGAAAAAGAGACCCGAGCAAGGTCAAATGCCCGTGAACGGTCAGCATGGTGTCTGAGAAACACACTCTAAGAGGAAGCCATTTAACTCAAGAGAAGGCATCAGTTATTTGTATTGGTGACAATCAATGAAAAAACAATGTGGGAGAGAGGTTTAGAGATGAGTGAACATGACTTCCAGGGACCCCTTAATCACAATATACACAGCTGCCTCGCCCTGTCTGTCAAGAGAAGGCCTACTGACAGTTGCTTAAATCTAATGTAAGAACTCAAAATTACTGAGATTCTGAGGAAGCTTTCACAATAAAACAATAACTGATCATCTGTTCTGTATCTAATACCTATTACTAAGTACAAAGGGACCTGGGACACATGACGACATACAGAGGAAAGTAAAATCAGTTCTATTCCCTAGCAAAACCAATAGGAAGACAGCAAGAGCCAGGCAAACAAGGGTACATTACAAAGCAAGACACTCGGGCTGGGGAGATAGCTCAGTGGCTTAAGCAAGCACAAAGTTTGGAGTTTGATCTCTAGTACAAAAAAAAAAAAAAAAAAGGCAAGTTAAAAAGTGAGACTCTCAAATCCAATTAAGAGAAAATTTGAAAAGACTGCCAACAGCAAAGGTAAGCAAGATGAGCCCCTGGAACCATCACACATTGCTACTGGGACTATAAAATGATGGGTCACCTTGAATTGTTTGGTTATATCTTAAATAAAAGATGAACTAGTTATTCTACCCCCAGGTATTAGCCCAAACTATGAACATGTACATCACCAAAACATAACCTTTTCACCAAGATGGAGCTAAAAGTAAAGGACGTTTCCACCCCTCGCAAAGCTGAAACTAAAGCGAGGGCCTCAAAGCCCCAGAAAGCAGCCCTGAAGGAGTCTGGAACCACAAAAAGAAAAGCCACACAGCACCCACTTTCTGGCAGCCCAACGTACTGCATATCAACCAGGATGTACAGAAGCTCTGTAACATCAACGTGATCTCCCAGATCAGGCCTGACGGGGCGGCAAAAGAATGTTCGAATGCCTCCCTCCTGATTATGATGTTTGTATGTTCCAAACCAAATTGTGGCACTCTAAACTGAGCTCATCTAGCCAACTTAAAATACATGTTTGCACCTTAAGAAAAAGACTAAGGAATATTCAAAGCAACCTTATTCATAATACCCAATCATTTAAAAATCCTCAGGCATTTGAGAACAAATAAGTTAGTATTTTTATACTATTAATAAACTATTACAAATTCAAGATAAAATTTCAAATCATATGCTGTATTATAGTCAACCTAAGTGACTTCTAAGAAATTATTCTGTGGTGACAATTTGGAAAACAATTACCTCTAGGATTAGGAAACATGACAGGACTTAACAGAAACTTATTTTGCACTGGGAATTGAACTCAGAACTTCACACTTGCTGCGCAGGTGCTGTGCCTCTGAATTAAATCCTCAGCCTTACTATAAAATTTTGAGACAAAAATATATTCTATCTTGTTTTTGGTGCCAGTTACAGTTATTAAACACACACTTAATGACTATTTTGTTGAACATTTCCTGGAAAAAATAGTTTCAAAACATATCTGAAAATGATTTATTGGCCTGCCTAGAACATATTAGATCTGTACCTTTATTCCCCTGGAAAATTCCTAACCAGTCCTCAAAAACCCACGTCAAAAGCTACTTACTTTAAAATCTTTTCTTGAATGAGTTAGCTGTGCTTCATATCCTCAGACATTTTCTGTTCATGTTCTTAAAGTATTCTACATTTATAGATTGTAAGTACAGTCACATATGTGTCACTTAAGTAATGGACACATTGCTCAAATAACATCCTCCTCGTTATATGTCAAACAGACTGTACTTATACAAACTACTACAGTTATCAGGTCACTACGTGATAGATCTTATGGGTAACTCATTGGTCTTTAACCAAAATGTCATGTATTGTCATGACAATACTGTTTACTGTTGGTTTCCCCTGACAAGTACAAGTGGAAGGGGAAGAAAGTAGTCAGAATAAATACTACTCAGTTTTTTTATGTTAGACTTACAGGAGTCTTTGTAGTTTACAGTTTGGATTCCTTAGTTCTTGATGAAGAATCTTCATTATTAACTCATCAAGGTTGCTATGACACAAGTCCAGTTCTGTCAAGTGTTCATTTGTATTAAGCACAGAGAAGAGATTTTGCCAGCATTGACTGATATGATCATCATCTACTTGCCTATATAATCAGAAAAGAAAATAATTTATAAGGAAACTCTCACAGGGTGGTACACTGAAGTAAATGGTCTTTGGAAATGGCAGGAAATTTAGTGTGGCTTTGCCATGGGCACAGTCAAACAGGCCAACTTCCTCCGGGTATTCCAGAGGCTTCATTTGCCAATACCTCCCCCCAGCCATCTGGTTTCTCAACACACAAAAATAAAACTAGGAACACTTCACCTGAAAGGAAGAGACTCAGAAAAGAGTTTCAAATACTCAAGGAACAATATCAAAAAAATAAATACACAAAGAGTAAGATTAGGATTCAGTGTAATGTGGTACTAAGAACTACAAGTTTTGAATTGTGGCTCTACCACTTACTTGCTGTATTTTAAACAAGTCACATCAATTCCATAAGCTCTAAGTTTTCTGTAAAATGGAAATATTTTTAATAGGGATGTGAAAATTAATAGTCAGGTTCAGTGGCAACAAAATACTGAACTTTAAATGCTGTACGAATTATTGGGTATATTACCAATATACTCTCTATAAACAAAGAAAGGGATCAAGCAATGAAACAGGACAGCCTAGGAATAAGCATAAGCTCTAGAACAGAGCCTCCCCAAGTCCCAACACAGATCCGCTATTCACTAAAGTGACAATGTACTAATCAATATGCATTTCAGCTTCTTCATCTTAGAAAATGGAAATATTTCTTACCCCAACTGGCCTGTTGACAAGTGCATTTAACAGGGCTGTCTATAAAAAATTAATATAAGGAATCTCACATTATAAATGTCCCTAACAATTGGTAGCTTTCATATTAAAATATTAAAGGTCTAACATGTCTTATACATAGTAGCTACTCAATCACTAATGATTCTCAAAGCTTAAATGCAATGAATGACACTTTAAGACCTCAAATGGTAAAGAAACCATTCTAAATTCATAAAACCAAAACAGTAAGTTAAACATAACATTCAAATACTGCCTATGTACAGATGCTACACACATACTATATATAAATACTATAGACAAAGGGTGAATAAGAAAAGCTTATGATGTTGATTTGTAGAACAGACCAAGTTCACCTACAATGCCTTTTAACACAGATGATCCATGTACACCCTCAACAAGAAATTTTGGGCCCTTAAATTTTCAAGTTTCAAATTGTTGCTCATACCCTAATGCATGCAAAATTTCCACTTACCCTAATGTATGCAAGTCTATACCTTATACTACAAACCTTTAAGGATTAAAGGTTAATTCCATTGAGCTGCCAAAAACTCTCAGTCAAGTCCTTTTCTTTAAATTTCCCTCAAGCCAGGAGAGCTATCTTAGGGCAGATTTTCCTGTTCCTCACCACCCATAACTGGTCAATTAGGATTTTAAATATCTAACCACCTCTCTACAAGGAAGAACAACTCTCAAGGGTTATCCCATCCTGGAACTCCAGCTAAGCAATTCCTCCTTCTGACAAAGTCATCCTTACTTGTCACAGGGCATCTACAGAGAAATGACAATACACTTACATAGTTTCAGCTGCAGGGCTGGACCTTATCATAACCACATCCAGTTTAAGGGTCTGCAAACATCGGCAGTGCTTAAGGCAGAATGAAGACACAAGCAAGTGGGCTTCCCTACAAATATTAATGACAACGTTTGAGAAATTCCCCATTGCCTGGGCTACAAATGCTTCATCTTGAGTCTCATATAGATAGTGAAACAAGTCCAGAAATACTGTATCTGATGGAGAAATGTCTCTGTCTCCTAGTACTTTTATCCATTGAAGTATCTCCCATTTTATCTTCAGAGACATTTGACACTTTAAAGTTTCCTCCAGTTGTTTCAGTAGGTCTTCATTCAAAAGGCCGAACAAAAAGCATTTTAGCTGTGTCAAATTGGGGTCACAATCACTTTTACTTTCAAGTAACAGGTTCAAATCTTCAAAAAACTGGGATGAATGCTCTCTATCTTCCCAATCACTTCTCAGTATGTAGAACATAGCGGCAAAAAATTCCTGAATATGTAGATTGGTGAATATATAGCAGTTGTCATAGTCTATGTCCTTTTGAAGAACATTCATGTCTAGAAAAACTGAGGTATCATAAGTGGTTAATCCATGCTTCCTGAGTTCATTCTTATAAAGTACATGTGTCATAGTCCACAGGCCTTTGGCAGCTAAGCAGCACAGGCTTCTCAATTGGACTTCATTGGGTAGCGTAGGAAGATACTCATCTCTGGGTGAGAATAAACTAGAGAGATAGCATGTAAACACAGCTGTAGCTGTCTGGCATATCTTCGTGATGTCATTATTAGTCTCCATTTGCTGTTTTAGACAATTACAGATGAGACGGCACACTGAGGGAACGTGGCACATGTTAAAAAGTACCTCATTCTTTCTTATTAAATCAAATGCATTCATGGCCCAGGTCTCGTCTTCAAACAGCTGATAGATATACTCTTTTCTTTGATCCTGGGACAGTCCTTTGAGATCTACATAACACTGACTCTTCAACAAACGCTGATTAAACAAACGCTTTAGTCTGTTAGAAGCTGTGTGTCTTACAGTCACCCATAAGGATGATTTAGGGAGCATCACTTTCCTCAGCAAACTACTTATAAGGAAGGACACAGGGTGTACTTGGGTCCAGTCACCACACAGTGCAAATTCAGGTTCTTCAAAAGCAAAGTTTAGTTCATCAAAACCATCAATAATAAATAGAAGATTACTTGGCTGGGACAGGATCTTTTCAATGGGGATTTCAGTGCTAGGCCAGTCCTTTGAGATCAACTGAGCAAAGCTTTGCTCTTTCTCCTGGCTAATTTCTTTCCCACTGAGATAAAAAACATAAGTAAATTTGTGCTGATAAAGGTTTTCCTCAGCCCATTGTAAAACTGCCTTTCTCATCAGAGTTGTTTTCCCAACTCCAGCAGCTCCCCGAAGCACCACTGTCTGGAGTTGCTCATCTCCTCTTGCATTCACTTGAAACAAACATTCCAGAAGTTTCTGCTGTTGAGAAGCGCCATAGTAGAAGTGAAAAGGTTCTCCAAGCAAAGAATTCTTATCCAGAATGAGAAATTTTTCCTTTATTCGAAGTTTGTATTCTGTTCTAACACCTAGGCCAATCAGAAAAAAACAAACACACACACACAAGATTAAAACAAATTCCATTACCTGCAGTGTTAACACTGGACCTGGAATGAGGAATAAAAAATAGAGGGTTGGATCTTAAATGAATGTAAACTAAGTGAAAATATTCCTGTACGTTTAAAACTTGCCATAGAAGCTGTTAAATATGATAGAAAATTTCATTTATTCTAGAAATAGTTTTATACTTTTTCTCCAAAAAAGATGGCATGTGTAGAGAACAGACTCATTCCCAGGCAGTCACTTATGCCGCTGAGCTATATCCCCAGCCCTAGACCACTCATTCAGATAGAGTATAATCGACGATGATGGCAACAAAGGTGGGATCTAAGAGCAACACCTACAGATGAAAATAATCCAGCTTACAACTCTTGTTGCATAGTTCCTGCTTTACCTTGGTCTTAACCATCCAGTAGAAAAGTATGAAGACGAAATATAGGAAATAAAGCCATGCTGTTATGTTGAGCTGTGGGGG